AAATATATACAGGTCTTGTTTTGAATAAAAAATGCTTAACCCAAAAGTCTAATGTGAATTTGACATCATGAAGTTCTCTTGATTTTTTTATTTTTTGAAGACATTAACTTTTTTAAATTACTGCAATAATGTTAATTACCGCTAAACGCGTTTAATATTATTTAACTTTTTTTTTATTATTACTTTAAGGGAATATTTATTTTATTTTATATTTTTTAATATCAAATAATTAAATTTAATATTACATTTTTAAAAATGTTTGATATTAACAAATTTCTTTCTTTTCTCGACATTTGCATAATGAATTAAAATATGTTAATTTTTGAATTTTTAAATGATAATTTCTTAAATTTCCAATTTTTTTTTGCAACTACAAATGATTTTTTATTTTAAAAAAATTAGAGAGTAAAAAATAAAAGAATTTCTTTAATTTATTTACTTTATTTATTAAAAGTTTATTATTTTATTAACAATTTTGTTTTGAAAGCAAAGATTTTTTTTCCAAACATCATTTATTAAAATTATATTGCTGTATATTAAATTAATTTAAAATAATCACTGCTATTTAACTTGTGTTATAAAAAAAAATGTCTAACTTACATTTTGTGAAAATTTTTTGATTATGCCTTTTATTTAAAATTTTGAGTAAAAAAAAAAATGATTAGGAAGGAAAATAAAACAATAATTGCGATAAAAATGAACTAATTTTTTTTTAAGAATAAGTAAAATTTAAATATTGAACAATATTTAGTAATATTTTTAAATAAATTTGACATTTAATTTAAACCCAAGCATTTACTTTAATTTTAATAAACTTATTGTATTTTTTAAATCTAAATTAATTTTTTTTTTATCAGAATAAAATTTTTATATTTTTATTAAATAAGTTTTAAATTAAATCATATATTATTTATCAGAATTATATTATTATGATCTTTGCTTCTAGCTTAAAGTATAAGTGTTATTCAAGCGAAAAAATCAATCATTACAATAACAACTAAATGAAAAGAATTTTTATTATATTGTAATGATTGATTAAAATCTAAAATCGCTTAAGGAATATGTAAATCGCTCTACATGTAACACTTTAAAAAAAAGGCCTGATATACCTAATTTATTTGCTTACTGGATAATTTTATGATGTTGCCCTGCAAATATCACAAAATATCCAGCAAGCAAAAAAAAGTGAAATTCACACTAATGGCTAGATCAAAATGTAAACAACTTCACTGTAATACATTTGAAACTAATTTTAATTATTTTAAACTAAGTTTAAAATAATTTTTATTATAATTAAATTATAATCTTATTTGCTTAATATTTTTCGTTTAGTAAAACAATTCAATTGTAAATGCAATTCAGGTGCATTGTCCATAAAGTACCTCAGCCTTTAAATTTTTTTTTTTAATTTTTAACCCCTTTCCTCCTGTCACAAAAGGTCACATATATCTTCCTCATATATTATCTGCCTCCTAAGCTGTGTTAAGAGTTTTTGCATCAAAAAAGATTTTAAAAGATTTTAATGTAAATACGTTGCACCATTTTAAAAATTCAACGTAATGAAAATATGGCAATACACATAAACATAAGAAGTGTAAGTAAAATTTCTGACAAACTAAAACACTTTCTTACTTGAATGACTCAATAAGTATTAATATAATTGTCTAAAGTAAGTTTCTCTTGCTCTTGTGGAAAAAACTGTTATCAATTTCATAGATGTTTTATATGTTTTTAAAAATTATGAAAAATAACTCAGGAAGAGTGTCACCAGTTATTTAAATATATATATATATATATATATATATATATATATATATATATATATATATATATATATATATATATATATAAGTAAACACTAGGTATCACCATAGAATACAATTATAATATTGCTACCTCTTAGCAATATTATTAAAACTGTTGCCTTTTTTTTAAAATTAGTTTTAGGTGTCCCAAGAAGTTCTTATAGTCTTATCACAGAGCACCGTGGAAGAGCGTTTAATAGGAAGTTCAGGCATTCTTCCTAAGCGATGTTGCAAAACTTGCCCAGATGTGGGGTTCGAACCACAGATCCTTTGTTTCTGAGGCAAGTGCACTACCACTGCGCCACGATTGCTTAGAAATTGTAGGTATGGTAAAGTTGTGACTTTTTATAATGAAGCTGGTTGTTGAACTTTGTAGGTAGTTCTACATTTGTGTAGAATGATGAGGAACACTTTAGAAATGTGTAGCTTGTTCTAGAACTACTAATGTAGCTATATAAGCGATTTCTGCACTATTTTTTGTTGTTGATTTTGAATTACTAATTGATAAGGTTAAGAATGTGATATAGAGACAGAAATAAATTTTTAATTAGGACTGACAAATTAATTAAGCAGATTTTACTGGACTTATGCACCTGCTTTACAGAAATATGTAAAAATATTAGCATTTCAAAAGTTAAATTAAATTACATATAACATTAAAAGCAATTAGTATTCATTTATATACTTTTGATTTT